TTGGCTCCGGGCATGGAGGGCTCCTCCATCAGCTGCACCGGTGCTGTGGCCACCCGCAGCATCCGCGGCAGCGGCGGCGCACGATGCGGCGCCACAGGCTGCGGACGCTGCAGGGGATAGGCGCCAGGGAGCTGCTGAGGGTCTCAGATCGGCTTCACGGCATAGCTGGAAATGGGGAAAAACGACCACCTTTCCCCGAATGGTGTTGTAACATGGGTTTACCATGAAAACTATTGAAACATGGGATTTGAATTTGAGAATCCCACAATTGAAACTTCAATATGATTTACCCTCCCCAACTATCCCCAACTAACAGTTTGACCCTCAGAATCAGCCACTCTGTGGGAGGAAGTAAGCTTCCAACCCCCTACTTAGCAGGGTCAATGTTAGTTGGGGGATGGTAGCCTCAACACTGGCAACTTCTTTGGTGGGGAAAGCCAATGTCTAAATCAAGGAATTTGGGGATCCGGATTGGGATTCACGATTTGGAGACAAACAAAACATTGGGCAAGGGGTGGTCAACCCAAAAAGCGAGGATTCATATTATTCTTTGGTTTCTGAAGGCTTCAACTCATTTCAGAAATTCAGTAAAGATTGAAGATTTTCCGGAAGATGAATCCAAACAAGGCCAGGGGAACAAACAAATGGCCAAAACTTAAAAACCAGCAAGCTGTTGGAAACATCCGCATGAATTTTGCCATCGCCCAACACGAACACAGCTACGACCTGGCCGGTCGTGGTTGCTGGTGTAAACCCCGACAACAGTAAATCCAGTGTGATTTATGAATTTATGAGCGTATATCGTGATTCAGATTGGCAAGACACATCTAAGGGATGTCAAGTTGGAATCTACCACTTCGCGCGCCCCCTCCAGTTATAAGTTGGTCTATATTCCCCATTAGCTATAGTAGGTATAGTAGGTATATATGTGTTATAAACCACGAGTCCACTGCTGCCAAATCTCAGGCCGAGGTGACTCGTTGCGGGGCTATGGTCACTGCGGCCTCAGTGATGCAAAGGCCGCGCCGGGATGCGCAGGGCATTTAACATTGCTTGAATTCCCTTTTTTTGGTGGATAAAATCCAATTTCTAGCAGTTGAATCCCCATTCTGGTAGCTTAAATCCCTACTTCCATGAGTTAAATTCCCAATTTCTATGGGTTAAATCCCCATTTGTTTCTGCAAAGATCTGAGGCACCCGAGCCGGTACTGCATATGCGGCACGTAGGCCGTTCGAGGTCCCAGCCGGCGGCAACCTGGAGCGGCGCCAGTGGATAGTGACGGATTTCATCTGCTAAAATTAGGATTTGACCTGCCAAAATGGGGATTTAAAAGAACATGATCTCAAGTGCCAGAAATGGGTACTGTATGGTATTGTATCTTGATATGCTTAAAACGTCTTGAAACCATCCAGTGGTTTAACATACCAATGGAAACTTGTTGGTACTGCATGCAAGTTTGGCAACCTACAGTTTTGACGTATGGATACGTATGGCCAGCCATAGTCGCCATGTGACAAAAGTCTCTCTGGGGTTTGGTAAACCACCGCACATAGACAGCCCTACCGCTAACTCTCCATCACCCCACTGCTGTTCCCGTTAGGGGATGTCCCTTGTAAAAATCATAGACCAGGAGCTATCTTCCTTACGCACTCTCAGAGGGCCATTGCCGAAACCCTTCTGCTGGTTAGTGGGGATTTTCCATCATAGGGGGACAAGTCCTCAAAAAATGGTAGCACCAAGAAGCACCAAGCACCCCTGGTGGTTTTGGTGTAGCGGCCACGGGCCAAGTAGCTGATACCTTGGGGCCTCGTTCACTTGCCATGGCTGGCGCAAATGAAATGGTTTCATGACGGAGTTTCTGGGTTCCAAGGCTCTGAAAGATCTTTGAGGCAGACATGGGAGAAACTGCGGCTTGGTGGAAAGGAGAAGGATCATCAAATGCATGCTCCCTACTGATCTTTGCCATGTATTTCTGTGCTTTTGAATCCACCTAATTGGATGTGCAGGCAGAGAGTTTGAGCCACTGAACCTGCTGGGATCCCAGAAATGAAGGGACAACTCCAACCCAAAAGCATGCCCAGTGTGGGTATGACGGGCCCAACAAACCTCTTCCTTTATATCAGCCCTACTCGGCAGCTCAAGCATGCTTCTGTGTTTCCCAAACATCGGCACCGTGAAAACCAATGGGTTCCATATGGCTGGTATGGCTTGTATGCATGACAATATCAAACCCAGGAACCATGGGACCCACAAAGTTTTAATACGTATGTTTTAATGCTCTTTTAAAAAATAATAAGGTGTATTTATAACTCTCCAATGTGGAAAATTACCCCAAGTTTGATCCGTAGCCATCTCAACAAACATCCAACGTCTTTTACAATGGCACCCTTCCCTCAGCTCTAAGGGCCTCCGAGAGGTTTGCTGGAGGCACACAGCGATCAACAAGCCTCGCGCCTCGCCAGCACAGGTCGTTTCTTGAACTTTCTATCAATGGAAATCTCGCAGACCGTGGAAATGACCGGATCTAAATCAGCTTTTGGCTCCACCCTCTTTCAAGAGCAAAAATCAGGCACGCAAATCCTCAAAAGAGTCTCTTGCTTCCATGGGTCAGCCCACCTGTCCCAGTTAAGGGAATATCTAATGAATCTAATGACTAAAGACTAATGAGCATAAACATCACAAGAATGGATGGTTGAAGATGATAATCATCAAACGTTCCCCAATAATTTATATATATATATATAATCATCATAGATACCATATGGACATGGCTTTAAACATCACTGATTAATTATAATATATACATATATATATATATATGTGTGTGTGTGCGTGTTTAATATTTGCAGTAGTTATATTCATATTTATATTTATATCTATATTTATTTATATGATTATTTATTTATCTATACGTATGTTTATGTATCTATTTATTCATTTATTTATACATCACAAATATTAAACATCGCAAAATATGGATCGTTGAAGATTCCACATGATTGTACTGCATATATGTATGTATAAATATATGCATATATAATATCTATATATTCCCATATATTCCCCATGTTCTATGTCCCAATAGTAATACATAGTTGTTGATGATGTTTGTTTGAACCCGAGAAATTTCGCCCAAAAATCTGGGATCCCAGGCCGACATCCCCCACAGCCACAGCGAAGGACACGCGCTCGCCGTACTCGGGGGCTGCCTTGGACGTCGAGATGGGCTAGCGTGCAGCTGGCCCGGTCATTCGGCAAGGGAATCCCTATGAAAAATCGAGGTTTCAACGTGAAAACCGTGGGAAAATGTGGGAAAGTCATGGGAAAATGTTGGAAAATGTTGGAAAATCACTAAAAATGGAGGTTTATAGCTGGGAACATCGAACATCATCTGCAAGCGAAGGATTTTCCAGCCATGGTGCATGTTTGATTGCCGGAGGGTAGAAACATGTTCGTGATATGGCTGAGATTCATAGCCATCGCCAAGAGGACTTGACCCTAGCAAAATCCAATCGTCAAAGAGTGGACAATTTAACCTGTTAGTACCTGTTTTGTTTCTCGGAGTGTTGCTATAACTAACTATCAACAAAGCCAACAGTAAGACTACTGTATCTACTATCATCAATAGCAAGCCCAAAACCGTAAGCCATCCAACTTTTTCCGGAAGTGATTGCAAAATCAGCCCAAATTCAAGGTCTATGGCATTGGGTTTACCACATACCGGTAACCTTCACAACTGGCAATGATAGAGACATTAAGCAACCTTGCCGAGGATACACAGACCTCATGGGACTCACGGGCTACTACAAAATGACAAACCCGTCATCTGGTTTCACAAGCAGTCCCATAAAATAAACACATGGTACCCAAATGGCTACCAAACATCAGGCGTCATCTTTTGACCCTGTGCCTCTTTTTCGCTCGCATCGCCGCAGTCCTGGGTCTAGCCGTAGTACCTATAGCTGCCCCAGTAGTTCTGGGACCAGCCTTGAGACCAGCCTGGCGACCAGCCTGCGGACCAGCCTGGTGACGAGCTGTAGCCACTGTAGCTCCAGCCACCAGGTGCCCAGGTAGCAGATCCCCAGCCACTAGACCTCCATGTCTGTCCTTCAGACCTTGGGGCGCCAAGGTCTACAGATTCAACTGCCTCAGGTGCCTCAACTGCCTCAGGTCCCTCGGCTGCCTTGGGTGCCTCAACTGCCTCAGCTTCTCTGAACTCCTTGGGCTTGGAGGATCGGGACCATGGATCCCCGCCATCTAGCCATGGATCCGGCACCACCTCGGGCCGATCAGCTGGTTCCTGGACCGCTTTCAGCTGCTGCACCTTGGAGGGGCTCTTGGCAAACCAATCTGTGAAGAATTTCTGGTGCTCTTCTCTGATCTGATTGTCGTCAAAGAACAGCGGATCCAGCTGCACGCTGCCGCTTTTTCGCGGGTCCTCCAGAACATACAACCGTACGATTTGCCCCAACGTGTCGTAGTTTTCTTGGAGGACAGGCAGGTACACCATCAAGCTTGGGTGCATTCCCTCCAGCCAATCCCTCAGCTCCTCCAAAAAACGTTGCGTGCCAGGGCCTGTCAGTTCTGTTTCAGAGGCTTCCGGCTCGGTGGCTTCAGGTGGCACACGGCCACTGCTCCACTCCTCCGGAGGTTTGGGGTGCTGACCCCCCTCGGGCCACCAAGCGTAGCTCTCAGCACCGGAGCCCCAGCTAGCCGGTCGGTTCCACCAGGAAGGCTCCCAGGAATCCCAGCAGCCATGGCCCCACCAGCTGTAGCTGCTCCAGGACATGGCGGTCCGCGACTTTCTCAGCCCATGACTGAAGTCATCCAGGATCTCTCATGTGTTTTTATCCAAGAAAAGTGATAGAAAGTGCCAAAAGTCTGATGGTCATGGCTTTCCAAAAAAGAAAGTGTGAATACTCAGCCAGTGCTGGCCTGACCAACCAATGTAACACATGATATGTCAACTCAGGATGGTACTTTTTGGCACCTACAGGGCCTCCAATAGTGGATATGTGGATCTGGTGACTGTCACTTTCCGGTAGTACATCTAACATCTTCGAGCTGCTTGATGGAAGTGCTTCGCAAGAAATGTGACAGGCTGCCTGCCAATCCAGGCTGCAGCCCTACAAAAATGCTGTAGAAGCTCCGGAGGATGCTAGAATCCGCCGACCCCGGCCGACGCAAGGGGGAGCGCGTAAGGGAAAAAGATGTATTGCACTACTACGACTCCTATACTCCTACTCCTACTCCTACTCCTACTACTACTACTACTGCTACTACTACTACTACTACGACTACTACTACTACGACTACGACTACTACTACGACTACTACTACGACTACTACTACGACTACTACTACTACTACTACAACAAGCAGACGCAGCAGTAAGCGCAACGGCAGCAGTGCAGCAGCTAGCAGCGAGCCAGCAGCGAGCCAGCAGCGAGCCAGCAGCCAGCCTCGAGAAAAAAACGTATAGCAAGCTTTTTGTAGGAGATTTCAGAAGGGACGTTCCGGCCCCGGGAAACGCCTATTTTGGACTCTGGTCGTTCTTCAGGGCCATGGTGTTTCCCCGTCCTGGAGGGCCGTGTCTTTGTCGCTCTTCAGTAGTAGCATGGGGTTTCCTTGCCGGAAGCCGCCTTTTTGAAGAGTCAGGTGCACCAGCAGCAGCAGCAGCAACAGCAGCAGCAGCTCCCAGTAGCCAGCATCGAGAAACGTAGTATAGCAAGCTTTATAGCAAGCTTTATATAGCAAGCTTTATATAGCAAGCTTTATAGCAAGCTTTTTCTAGGAGATCTAGGAGATTTCAGAAGGGACGTTCCGGCCCCGGGACACGCATATTTTGGACTCTGTTCGTCCTTCAGGGCCATGGTGTTTCCCCGTCCTGGAGGGCCGCGTCTTTGTGGGCACAGCAGCAGCAGCAGCAGCAGCAGTCGCTGTCGTCCTTCAGTAGTAGCATGGGGTTTCCTTGCCGGAAGCCGCCTTTTTGAAGAGTCAGGTGCACCAGCAGCAGCAGCAGCAGCAGCAGCTCCCAGTAGCCAGCACATCGAGAAACGTAGTATATATAGCAAGTATAGCAAGTAGCAAGCTTTTTCTAGGAGATCTAGGAGATTTCAGAAGGGACGTTCCGGCCCCGGGAAACGCCTATTTTGGACTCCATTCGTCCTTCAGGGCCATGGTGTTTCCCCGTCCGGGAGGGCCGTGTCTTTGTGGGCACAGCAGCAGCAGCAGCAGCAGTAGCTGTTTCTTGCTTTGGAAGCTGTTTGATTGCAGCAGCACAACAGTAGCACCACAGCAGCAGCAGCAGCAGCCACCAGCAGCAGCACCAGCAGCAGGCAGCAGCAGGGAGCAGCAGGCAGCAGCAGGCAGCGTAGTATATAGCAAGTAGCAAGCTTTTTCTAGGAGATCTAGGAGATTTCAGAAGGGACGTTCCGGCCCCGGGAAACGCCTATTTTGGACTCCATTCGTCCTTCAGGGCCATGGTGTTTCCCCGTCCGGGAGGGCCGTGTCTTTGTGGGCACAGCAGCAGCAGCAGCAGCAGTAGCTGTTTATGCTGTTTCTTGCTTTGGAAGCTGTTTGATTGCAGCAGCACAACAGCAGCACAGCAGCAGCAGCAGCAGCAGCTGCCAGTAGCCAGCACCAGCATCGAGAAACGTATCCGCCGACCCCGGCAGACGCAAGGGGGAGCGCGCCAGGGAATAAGACAAGCAAAGACAAGCAAGTTTAGCCGCACCAGCAGCAAGAGCAGCGGCAGCAGCAGCAGCAGCAGTTGTTTCTTGCTTTGGAAGCTGTTTGATTGCAGCAGCACAACACAGCAGGCAGCAGCAGACACAAGCAAACGCAGCAGCAGTAAGCGCAACGGCAGCAGTGCAGCAGCTAGCAGCACGAAAAAGTGTGTTTTTCTAGGATGGCACTAATGGGTGTCAAGAACGTGGGCCGTCCGGCAAGGCCTTGTCCCAAAAACTATATTGCTTTTCTAGGGTTTCAGAAGGGACGTTAGGCACTTTTTGGGCTCGATTTTGGAACGTTTTGGGCACGAAATTAGGTGGCGTTTCAGCGTTTCGAGTGGTGGCCATGAGCAGCAGCAGCAACAGGAGCAACAGGAGGGTTCTATGTCTCATTGTACAAACAGTGGTATAAAAATTGGTCGAAAAACTATAAAACCTTGTCCAAAACTATATTGTTTTTCTAGGGTTTCAGAAGGGACGTTAGGCACTTTTTGGGCTCGATTTTGGAGCGTTTTGGGCACAAAATTAGGTGGCGTTTCAGCGTTTCGAGTGGTGTCCATGAGTCGAGCTGTTGCAGCTAGCTGACGTCAAAGCGACAGGATGCGACAAGACGGTTATCACAAAGGCAGGCAAAAGTTCTTTTTTTCCAGGGTTTCAGAAGGGACGTTAGGCACTTTTTGGGCTCGATTTTGGAGCGTTTTGAGCACGAAATTAGGTGGCGTTTCAGCGTTTCGAGTGGTGGCCATGAGCAGCAGCAGCAACAGGAGCAACAGGAGGGTTCTATGTCTCATTGTACAAACAGTGGTATAAAATAAAAATTGGTCGAAAACTATAAAACCTTGTCCAAGAAAACTATAAAACCTTGTCCAAAACTATATTGTTTTTCTAGGGTTTCAGAAGGGACGTTAGGCACTTTTTGGGCTCGATTTTGGAGCGTTTTGGGCACGAAATTAGGTGGCGTTTCAGCGTTTCGAGTGGTGGCCATGAGTCGAGCTGAAAGCGACAGGACGCGACAAGACGGTTATCACAAAGGCAGGCAAAAGTTCTTTTTTTTCTAGGGTTTCAGAAGGGACGTTAGGCACTTTTTGGGCTCGATTTTGGAGCGTTTTGGGCACGAAATTAGGTGGGGCTTCAGCGTTTCGAGTGGTGGCCATGAGCAGCAGCAGCAACAGGAGCAACAGGAGAATTCTATGTCTCATTGTACAAACAGTGGTATAAAAATATATTTATTGTTTTTCTAGGGTTTCAGAAAGGACGTTAGGCAGTTTTTGGGCTCGATTTTGGCGCGTTTTGGGCACGAAATTAGGTGGCGTTTCAGCGTTTCGAGTGGTGGCCATGAGTCGAGCTGAAAGCGGCAGGACGCGACAAGACGGTTATCACAAAGGCAGGCAAAAGTTCTTTTTTTTCTGGGGTTTCAGAAGGGACGTTAGGCACTTTTTGGGCTCGATTTTGGCGCGTTTTGGGCACGAAATTAGACGTTCCGCACTTTTTGGGCTCGATTTTGGCGCTGTTCCGTCCTTCAGGGCCACTGCGTTTCCCCGTCATCGAGGGTGCGTTTTCAGCCTCGGGAGGAAGAGCAGCAGCAGCAACAGGAGCAACAGGAGGGTTCTATGTCTTATTGTACAAACAGTGATATAAAAAGTGGTCGAAAAGTATAAAACCTTGTCCAAAACTATTGTTTTTCTAGGGTTTTAGAAGGGACGTTAGGTACTTTTTAGGCTCGATTTTGGAGCGTTTTGGGCACGAAATTAGGTGGCGTTTCAGCGTTTCGAGTGGTGGCCATGAGTCGAGCTGTTGCAGCTGACGTCAAAGCGACAGGACGCGACAGGACGGTTACCACAAAGGCAGGCAAAAGCTCTTTTTTTTCTAGCAAAGACAAGCAAGTTTAGCCGCACTAGCAGCAAGAGCAGCGGCAGCAGCAGCAGCAGCAGTTGTTGTTTCTTGCTTTGGAAGCTGTTTGATTGCAGCAGCACGACACAGCAGGCAGCAGCAGACACAAGCAGACGCAGCAGCAGTAAGCGCAACGGCAGCAGTGCAGCAGCTAGCAGCACGAAAAAGTGTGTTTTTCTAGGATGGCACTAATGGGTGTCAAGAACGTGGGCCGTCCGGCAGGGTGCGTTTTCAGCCTCGGGGGGAAGAGCAGCAGCAGCAACAGGAGCAGCAGGAGAGTTCGATGTCTCATTTTACAAACAGTGGTACAAAAATTTGTTGAAAACTATTGTTTTTCTAGAGTTTCAGAACGGACGTTAGGCACTTTTTGGGCTCTTTCTATGGTTTCAGAGGCAACGTTAGGCACTTTTCCCTGTTTCAGAAGGGACGTTACGCACTTTTTGGGCTCGATTTTGGCGCTGTTCCGTCCTTCAGGGCCACTGTGTTTCCCCGTCATGGAGGGTGCGTTTTCAGCCTCGGGAGGAAGAGCAGCAGCAGCAACAGGAGCAACAGGAGGGTTCTATGTCTCATTGTACAAACAGTGGTACAAAATTGGTCGAAAACTATAAAACCTTGTCCAAAACTATTGTTTTTCTAGGGTTTCAGAAGGGACGTTAGGCACTTTTTGGGCTCGATTTTGGAGCGTTTTGGGCACGAAATTAGGTGGCGTTTCAGCGTTTCGAGTGGTGGCCATGAGTCGAGCTGTTGTAGCTGACGTCAAAGCGACAGGACGCGACAGGACGGTTATCACAAAGGCAGGCAAAAGCTCTTTTTTTTCTAGCAAAGACAAGCAAGTTTAGCCGCACTAGCAGCAAGAGCAGCGGCAGCAGCAGCAGCAGCAGCAGTTGTTTCTTGCTTTGGAAGCTGTTTGATTGCAGCAGCACGACACAGCAGGCAGCAGCAGACACAAGCAGACGCAGCAGCAGTAAGCGCAACGGCAGCAGTGCAGCAGCTAGCAGCACGAAAAAGTGTGTTTTTCTAGGATGGCACTAATGGGTGTCAAGAACGTGGGCCGTCCGGCAGGGTGCGTTTTCAGCCTCGGGGGGAAGAGCAGCAGCAGCAACAGGAGCAGCAGGAGGGTTCTATGTCTCATTTTACAAACAGTGGTACAAAAATTTGTTGAAAACTA